GTATTTTTATATTTGAGAAAACATTTATGCGGGGGTGCTCGAAATTATGTAGGTAGATCAAAGATAGAAGAGAAAAAATTATAATTAAAAACCATTTAGCGTACCTCATTAACAACTAGCGCATATACAAGATGTATAATACAGTAAGTTCATTCGATAACAATTGTATCAATGCGCTTGATTTGGTGTTGATGAAAATCATTCAAGGATGATAGTATTTGCTTCTCTTTCCTAATATGGATGTTTTTCAGCGGGAGTGAGCGAACCTCGCCTCCGGGGATTCAAGTCACAAGCAGTCCAAATTCAAATCTATAAAACCGGCCAATTATAGAACACAAGAGAGCTCACAATAGTTATATATGCTCTCCCTCTATTTTATATCGATGGTAATATCTGGTGTTTTATAACGATGCAGGCGGGATACTGTGTAGATTTTCTCGGTGGGAGGGTATAATTCAAGCTGATAGGCACAATCAGTAGAGAATATAAATTTTTTTTTATTTTTTAAAAAAATTATTACATTAATCTACATAGACACTCCTCGAAATTGAAATTGGCATGTCTATGAGGTCGAGATGCTCATTTTTCTATATTGACCAAAGAAACTTCAAAGGGGGGGAGAGGGACAAAAGGACGAAAGGAAAAAGGTTTGCTATTGTTAGCCGGCATCATGTTCGATCGGTTCAAAAGTCGTAACCCTTGTTGCTAGATCCAATAGTGGTCTGTCTCTTGCACGATAGTAAAAAGGTGGAGAAGAATAGGAAGAGAGGAGACGCTGCAGCTCACCCCAACTCCTGACTCATCAACTTTCTCCCTTCCTTCTAGCTCCTCGTGCGTATCTTATCTTCCACTCATCTCCCTTCTTACTTTTAGTTCTCTAGCCTCCTCCAGGGATCAACTACGGTACTGAGGGATGCAGCGGGTAGTACGATCACGACCAGTGATGTTCGGGTCGAGATGTCACAACACGACTAAGAATGATAATATCACGTTCTCTTCTCTTTGCTGTCCCATACTGCTACGCAGGCCAATACCAGTTCCTGGTGCTTTTCCGGGCGGCTACTCCCAGTTCGCTCGCCATGCGGCTTTGACTTCAGCACCTTCTCTACTATTCCCGTCCTCATCTGTGCGACCCGGCAGCAGTAGTGGGTGAATTAGTGGCGGAATACGCGGATATGACTACTTTGTGGTTTAAAAATATGATTGTTACTGCTTCAGAGAGCCGCGCCGGAGCTGAGCTGGAATGCGCTGGCGCGTGCATTTGATCCCGACTCCCCCACTGCAGAACCTTTCGTCTCTGCGTCATCTACGAGGTGGCCGCCGGGATGAGGATTCATCCAGACAAGAGTATATGGGATGACGGAGACGGACGATGATGCTAGCAAGATGCATACTCGCTCAAGAAAATTAATATTGTGGGAGAACCCCCAACGTTGAAAAATGACGCGGAGAGGTTGAGTGATAATTGTGGCGAAATCTATAAAAAGTGTAATTAAGTTGGCCTAATTTATTTATTTTTTATGTATCCTCATGAATTTCCCGCCCCAACCTTCGATTCTTCTATTAGTTTTTATTTTAAATTTTATGTTACTATATTTATGCAGCTAGCTATGTTATCGTAGTTGTATAATAATAGATGATGTGGATCAAATCCGGGAAGGTAATTAGTAGTTGTAGCTATAATTATCATAGTTACTTCAAGGTCCATCAGGATAACTTTATGACAGTTAGGGGTTTTAGGGTTTTTGATCTTAGTGCGGGTTGGCATAAACTTATTTCCATAAAGATTATGCACGATCACCTTGCTTTAATTACTTGCATGCGTCCCTGAATTTCTGTTTCCTTGAAGAATGATTTCGATCTATGATATGAAAATCATTAGAATCAACAACATGTGTTGGGGGGAATGTTAATTAGTTTCCCATATGAATAATCATTAGAATCATACGTTATATGCAATCTAATGGGTTTTGAATTTCAACAGAAAAGGGCGCAGGGGGGAGGAAGAAAGAGAAGAAACGGCAAAAGGGAGGCCTCGCTTCGCGTCATCAAAAGTGAGGTTGATCATCTTGAGATGTTATGAGATGGAGGAAGTACGGGCGCAGGAGGTGTCAAGAACACCTTACGCTATGTATTTATAACTATATATATACACATGCTTACTATCGCATTTATTACAGCTAGGCGTTTCATATCATACATATACTAAGCTAGCCTAGTTTCTTCCATCAGTGCAGTGCATTTTGGAATTGTTCGTAATATAGATCTAGTTAGATTTAGAGATTGAGAAGAAATTGATTTAAGAATCTGATATTATTAGCTATGTATATTAGTTTTCGAATTATTCCTTGAATTCGATTAGTTTAATTAGGCGTAAAGATTACAAGAATCCTTTATTATGACGTTACTTCAGAAACACCCTTCATCGAAGAACGTACTTAAACTAAAAATTCTCATTTTTTACTACTTGGATAGCATTGAAACCGATTCGAAGGGGTTGGTTCAAGAAGTTTCCTCAGACTTTTACCCTGAGTAGAAGTCTATAGGTAGACATCTGTATTTCAAAATCCACAGTTTAATTTGTTAACAGTTGAAAAATAAAGTTTGAAATATTTAGTTTATACTTTAGATAAAATAAATCTATGTTTTTTCCATCATTAATCAAAAAGTTCAGGATGGCAGAATATACCTACACAACATCGGGAAGAACCAAAAAGCCCCATTTAGACTCACATTTGAGCAGCACACTTGCATTTTACTTATAAAAATGACCATTGGGATGCAGGAGCTATTATCGGTGCACAAAGCCAGAAGTGGCACAGTGAAGAAAGGGTGGAGAGATCGTATCAAGACCGAGCATCGTGATCCCAACGTCTACGATAGGAACAACACACCATCAAGCCCTGCAACAGTTCGAGGGAGCTTCATCTCTTTGGCTCTCCGCCCATTATCATGCCATGCACGCCAATGCTTCATCAAGACATCATCATCTCTTGAGGCCTCATTCCATCCCCAACTAATTAAATCAACAACAACAAAGCACAATTAACTGCAGATCTTATACACATCAATATCTCCTTTTCAGCAGCACACAGCATCTTGCCAACTCCCTTGATCATCTAACGGTCTTCTGCACGATATGTTCCATCCTACTTTCAACGATTGACAACGCATGTTACCATGATCGGTCGATCTACTGTTTATTTTTCAATGTGAACGTTAATCGACTTTGTGGCTATGCTACATCTTTATTTATGTACATATGCATGTGTTCAAATAAATTAGGATATATATATATATATATATATATATATATAAGTACAAATTTTAAGAACTTTAAGATGTATAAGTTCTGCAAAAAAACAAATAAGGGTATGTACGTGCAATATATGAAAAACTATGGTGTATTTAAGTGCAATTAAGCCCCGTCAAAATGAAAAAGCGGCCGAGGACTATGACGGTCATGTGATGTCATCATCTGCGTTCCACGTGTCTAGTCTCTGAAAGAAATGTCACGTGCCTCGGGCCAGTCAAAATGACGGTGCTTCATTCAGGACACCTGTCGGTAGCATGTTTGGGGGAGAGAAAGGACCCATACCAAACCGAAAAAATTTTTGGTGTAGACCAGCCTTCTAAAACTTTGACCGCTCCTCGTAGACTAGCCCTGAGTTCTAGATACGTGACCGACTGTCGCCGGTAGCTTTTCGTGATTCGTCTCCAGCTGCTATTTCCTCTCTTACTGGCCCCACGGTGGGGATTCATTGTGCGACTCGTAGTATTTTTATATTTGATGAGAAACAAATTTATGCCGGGGTGCTCGAAATTATGTAGGTAGATAAAGATAGAAAGAAAAAAAATTATAATAAAAACACATTTACGCGTACATCATTAACAACTATCCATATACAAGATAGTATAATAGTAAGTTCATCGATAACAATTGTATCAATAGACGGCTTGATTGTGTTGATAAAGTGAAAATGTTGTATTAATCAAAATTCATTCTAGATGATGTATTATCATTCTCTTCCTATATGATGTTTTTCACGAGAGCAACCTCGCCTAGGATGTCAAGTACCACCAAGCAGTCCAAATTCAAATCCTATAAAACCGGCCAATTATAGAAAACACAAGAGAGCTCACATAGTTATATATGCTCTCTCTATTTTATATCGATGGTAATATCTGCTGTTTAAAACCATGCAGCCGATCACTGGTGTAGATTTTCTCGGGGAGGTATAAATTCAAGCTTGATAGCACCATCAAGTAGAGAATACATAAATTTATTTTTTTTTTTTAAAAAAATTATTACATTAATTAATAGCTAATAATTGGAAATTGAAATTGGCATGTCTAGAGATCGAGATGCTCATTTTCTATATTTGACCACAAGAAAATTCAAAAGGGGGGAGAGGGACAAAAGGACAAAGGAAAAGGTTTGCTATTGTTAAGCCGCATTCATTTCGATGCGTTCAAAAAAGTCGTACCCTTTGTTGTAGATCCAATAGTGGTCTGTCTCTTGCACATATAAAACAGGTGGAGAAGAATAGGAAGAAGAGGAGGACCGCAGCTACACCCCCCCAACTCCTCTCATTCAACTTTCTCCTCTTCTAGCTCTCTCTCTATCTTTATCTTCAAACTCATCTCCCTTCTTACTTTAGTTTCTTCTAGCCTCCTCACAGTTTCACACTACGTACTAGAGATCTGGTCATGGCGGGTAGTAATCACGACCAGTACTTGTTCGGTCGAGATCGTCACCAACACGATCAAGATGATAATATCACGTTCT